GGGGGGAGCAAAAACAGTGTCTTCCTGCTTCCTGGCTACCAGTTTCTCTTTAGAAAGGAAATCTCTCTTACTGTTTTTTTTTTGTATGTATTTTTCTAAAATCTGTTTTAAAAAGGAGTATCATTGTTCTACAAAGAAAAAACCAAAATGCTTGTTTGCCTTTAAGATAGTCTCAAATTGACTTTTCTCCACTGCATATCTATCTGAGAATCAGATTATCCTAAGAAAAACATCAAACCAATCACATAACAACCTTCAAGTTTTCCATCTCTTCTCAGTAAGTAGAACATTTTCAATATTGTTTTGTTTGTCGAAAGGTCATTGTGTCTGCTTTTAGCTCTCTGTAACCTAGTCTTGGCTTCCATACCGGACTATCTGATTCAGATGTTAAGCTGATTACCTGGTGGCCGCAGTAAGGATTCATCTTCTGACTTCCCAGATGCTAGGAACTGACCATCCCTGCCCGCCTCCTAAAAACAAAAAGAAAAAGAAAAGAAAAATCTCATGTTTTTTGTTTTTAGCAAAAACTGAAAAATCTCTCCCTACCCTAAGTAAGAAGTTTTTGTTGTCGTTGTTGTTGGGTTTTTGTTTTTTCTTTTTTTGAGACAGATTTTTGTTATGGAGTTCAGGCTTGAACTCACTTTGTAGCCCAGAAGCTTTTATTATTAACTGACAGAAATATTCATATCTCAGAAATGTACTATTCACAATTAATTGTTTGTTGTTGACTTTTTTGAGTCAGGGACTCACTATATAGTTCAGGATGGCCTTAAACTCACTATGTAATCCAGTCTGGCCTTGAACTTGCAGAAATCCTCTTGCCTCAGCCTTGTAAGTGCTGGGATTACAGGTATATGCCACCACACCTGGTGTGTTGTAGACATTAAGAAGTCCAGACATATTATTACCTGCTCCACTGGCAGTTGCAAAAACAGCCATCTCTACAAAATGGGTTAAAAACTTTATGTCCTATATTCTGTCTAATTTGATTCGGGGTAAAATATAGATTTTTGTTTTAGGATACAAAATGCTGTCAATTGTGGAATGCCCCATAGAAGAGATTTCAAGTGTTAGCCCAAATCTTTAGCCACAATTTTATATCTGAAAGGTTAACAAATATTAAGAGATATGAAAACTTGCTAGGAATCAAAAACATTCATCAATTTAGCCAAGTTGGGAGGTGAAAATACCAAATGTAGGCTAGGATGTTGGAAAACAGGAAACATTAGGCATTAGTGGTGGACGGTAAGTAATCTGCCAGTATTGAGTGAATGCATGCCCTATGACCCAACAATCCAACAGTGAGGATATTCCACAGGAATTTCCCCGACAAGTTCAGTTAGATTACCATCAAGGATTTCACTGTGTCTGTTTGTAGTAGTGGAAAGTTGATGACAATCTTAAGTTTTTATCCCTAAGAGAGTGGATAAAAATAATGACATTCTATATGGTATAATATGAAGCATTTAGAAACACCAAATCAGAGTATATTCAGCAAAATAGATCTGACACAGTGTTGGGTGAAAACGTAAGGGATATCATTTTGGATGTTTACTTCACAAGAGTAATTAATTAGTAGACAAGAAATTTCTAGTTCAACTCTATCTTCCTCAGTAGACTTTAAGATGCAGCTTGGCAAGGATACTGCCAGATACTTGGGCCTAGAACTTTGTCAGTTAACAAATATTTATTGGATAGATAGACAAACAAAAGCATGCAACATGTACATTCTAAAAGAACATAGTTTTGAAAGAAGAGGCAAATAATACCTCCAATTAAGAAATGAGGAATTCCCCATCTTCTAAACTAAGAATACAGTGAACATTCAGATTCTGGGGAGCTACTTTTGGCAGCTCTTTGAGAATTATACTGACTGAACCTGTCCGCAAGAATCCTTTCAATTACAGCAGGTTCTGGAAACCCAGTGATTTTCTAGCACCTCCAGTTCAGTAAAACTGAAAACTATCATTAATTTCACAGATGAGGAACTGGGCAGAAAAGTGAAATGATTCTAACAAGCCTAACACTTGTTTATAATAGAACCAATGCAGTTGGAAACAGAATTATCTCTTTCTCTCTCTCTCTCCTCATTATAAAATTATGCTTATAAAAATTCTTGACATGTCCCATGGCAGAAGCAGATTAGATTGCATATGTAATATATTTGTTATATAATACATTAACAGATATGACTGCATGGCATGTATATATTTCTCAAGTATTTGTCTATGTACAACATAAAAATGAGTATGCCACATAGCAATGATTTTTTATGTTAGTCAAAGGTGTGCGTGTAAGGCAGTATGTGGAGTTATTACTTTCATATTTTAAAAAGTAATACATGCAAATAAGAATAATCATTTTGAAAAACGGCATGAAATTTTCTTTAAAAACAAGAAGTAGAATTACTATATGATCCAGCAATCCCACCACTGAGTATATATGAAAGGAATTGAAATTAGAATGCTGAAGAGACGCCTGTACTCCCATGTGCGTTGCCTATTCACAGATCTAAGAGACATAAACAACCTCTGTTTATCAGTGGACTATTGGATTTTAAAATGTAGCCCATGCACACAGATAAACCTGGAAGCCAATATGTAAGTGAAATAAGCCAGGACCAGAGAGATAAATGCCACAGTACTTGTGGAATGTAGAAAAGCTAAATACGTGGAAGAAGAAGAGTGTAGAATGTTGTTTACCACAGATAGGAGAGTTGGTGGCCTGGGGAGGGAAGAAGTTGCTCAGTGGCTACAAAGTTAAAGTCAGATAGGATAAATAACCTAGGGGCGAAAGTCTTTATTGTACAGCAAGGTGATTATAGTTAATATGTTATATATTTCAAAATATTTAAAAGAATTTTAAATGTTTTTACAACAGAACATGAATATTTCAGGTGATAGGTGTGTGAATTACCTGATTTGATGATTTCACAATGCACTATGCATGCAGCCAAGCTCTACAGTGTACTGTTATTGTTTACATCTAAATGTCCCAAGAGACTCATGGGCTCATAGGTGGGGACGTTGGAAATGATTGAATTATGCTGTGCTACAGCCAACTGGCTAGTAAGAGGTAGGACCTGGGGCTCACTGGGGATCTGACCTGAAAGGCCTTCCTTCCTCTCTAGCCTCTCCTTCCTTTCCCACTTCTTTGCTGCCCTGACATGAGTGGCTTTCCTCTGCTGTGCCTCTGTCATGCCAGTCTGCTGGTGCTGGCCAGTTGTGGACTGAAAATATGAGCCAAAATAAACCTCTCTGCCTTTAAATTGTCCGTGTCAAGTTTGTGTTTCAATAACGAGAAAGTGATCTATAAATATGTACAATTATCTGTCAAAAATAAAATAAGGGTACTAGCTCAGTGGTAGTGTGTCCTGATCATTTACAAGGTCCCAGATTCAATTGCTAGCACCAAAATAAATAAAAGCTTAAAAACTCTGTGACTTCAGATAAACAGACCTATGATAAATTCATGCAAGAGAAATAAAATTTATGTTCACACAAAAACCTGTGCACGAAATGTTTATAGGTGCTTTATTCATAATTACTAAAAATAGGAAATAACTTTCTTAACTAAACGAATTGTTACACATCCATTTAATGGAATGCTACTTAGTACTTCATCCAAAGGGATGAACTATCTATTGATAAATACAATAATATACATAAATCTTAAATAATTTATGATTTGGTAAGGGATTCAAGACCTCAAAAAGCTACATACAATACTATTCTTTTTATACAACATTCTGGAAAAGAAAATGCTGGAGAAGAAGAAAGGTGATACTTTTTTTCCCCTGTTCTAGGCATGGAACCCAGGGCCTCCCGCATGCTAATCAAGCACATTACAGACTAAACAATTGTCATCCCAAAGGAATTAATTTTTTGTGATGGTTACATATATATTCATCAAAACTCATAGAATATATCAAAAAATGGATTATGCTACATATATTTTCAAAATAAATGCATAAAAAGTAACATAGGCCCACATGATAATATGCACAAATTTGTATTAATAAAATAGACAAAGAATTTAATAGAAATTCTCCAAGATCTTTACTTTGATTGTATTGTTGCTAACATATAAATCTATACATACCACAATGTAGAACTACATGTATACATTACATCAATGCACATCTCCTATTTTCGATATTGTGCTACACTAAAGTCAAGACGTAACTATTTGGGGAAATTGAGTGAAGGGTAAAGGGATCCCTGTATATAATTTTTGTAAATTTCTGTTGCTCTAAAATTTCTTAAAAGTCTCAGCCAAACTTTCAAAACCTAATTTTGCTCCCTAGAGGTAAATGCTATTACATTTCTCATGTATTAACTGCATTTTAAATCTAATACTTACATATATGTATTATATATAACTGTATTCATATGCAACACAAGCAGTAGTAGCATGTGGCTCTGCATCTCTTTACTATTCCTTTCTAGACTTTTTCCTACTGCATAGTACCAGTTACACTGTGGCATTATAATCTTTTCCATTTTCTTGACATTTTCAGATCTTAACACAGAATTAAATTTAAATGATCTAGAAATATTCACAATATGATAGATCAGCTGGAATTGCGATCAAACACTAAGAATTTTCACAAATTCAAGGTTAGCCTCAAGAATATCTTTTAACTAGAAGAAAGAATGCAAATAACAGCAAAAAAAAAAAAAAAAAAAAAAACCTCAGGGATATTTCTGGGCCAGTGGGGAAGCGGTGGAGTGGGCAAGGAATTACTGCTGGGTAGGAGTTTGCATAGGGCTGATTTATTGCTAGAGTAGGAGGCCTTGCCCCAAGCCAAGCCTTCCTCAGCCTACAGTTTATATATACTGAAGTGTGCCCAAGGCTCTGCGCCTTGAGTTGGTGCTCGGTCTTCTGCAGAAGTGCTCAGTCTTCTGTGACTGTCTTCCCAGGCAAGTTCCGATCCCAGGCAGCTTCCAGCCCACGCGCGCAAGGGAAGCACACGTGGCAAGCAGCCTGCGGCCTTGCTCCCCGCTCCAGCTCCTCCTCCCGCTCTCGCTCCGCTCTCTGCAGTGTCACGTGCGGCCGCGCTGGGTGCAGGATGGCGGTGGCAGCGGTGGGTGTCAGGCTGCGGGATTGCTGCAGCCGGGGAGCTGTGCTCCTGCTCTTCTTTTCTCTGTCTCCCCGACCTCCGGCCGCCGCTGCCTGGCTCCTGGGTCTGAGGCCGGAAGACACTGCTGGAGGCCGCGTGTCCCTGGAGGGAGGCACCCTGCGCGCGGCCGAAGGCACCAGCTTCCTCCTACGCGTTTATTTCCAGCCTGGGCCCCCGGCCGCCGCCGCGTCGGCGCCCGCGCCCACCGTCTCCCCGGGGGAAAACAGCACCGGCGCCTGGGCCCCGCGGCTCGTGTTTATCGAGGAGCCCCCAGGCGGGAGCGGCGCGGCGACCAGCGCGCTCCCCACGCACGCCCCGGGACCTCAGCGCTGCCGCGAGCAGAGCGACTGGGCGTCCGACGTGGAGGTCCTGGGGCCTTTGCGCCCCGGGGGCGTGGCGGGCTCGGCCTTGGTGCAGGTGCGGGTGCGAGAGCTGCGCAAGGGCGAGGCGGAGCGCGGTGGGGCGGGCGGCGGCGGGAAGCTCTTCTCGCTGTGCGCCTGGGATGGGCGCGCTTGGCACCACCACGGTGCCGCGGGCGGCTTCCTGCTGCGCGTCCGCCCGCGGCTCTACGGCCCGGGTGGGGACCTGCTGCCGCCCGCGTGGCTGCGGGCGCTCGGGGCGCTCCTGCTGCTGGCCCTGTCCGCCCTGTTCAGCGGCCTGCGCCTGAGCCTGCTCTCGCTGGACCCGGTGGAGTTACGGGTGCTGCGGAACAGTGGCTCGGCCGCCGAGCAGGAGCAGGCACGCCGCGTGCAGGCCGTACGCGGCAGGGGGACCCATCTGCTTTGCACCCTTCTCCTGGGCCAAGCCGGAGCCAACGCCGCCCTGGCCGGCTGGCTGTGCGCTTCGCTGCCGCCGGGTGTCGGGGGTCCCTGGGAGGACTACAGCGAGGCGGGAGTTCATTTCCCGTGGTTGCCGGCGCTTGTGTGCACGGGCGCCGTGTTCCTAGGAGCCGAGATTTGCCCTTATTCCGTGTGCTCGAGGCACGGCCTGGCCATCGCCTCGCACAGCGTGTGTCTGACCCGGCTCCTGATGGCGGCCGCCTTCCCGGTGTGCTATCCGCTGGGCCGCCTGCTGGACTGGGCGCTGCGTCAGGAGATCAGCACCTTCTACACGCGGGAGAAACTGCTGGAGACGCTGAGGGCTGCAGACCCCTACAGCGACCTGGTGAAGGAGGAGCTGAACATCATCCAGGGCGCTCTGGAGCTGCGCACCAAGGTGGTAGAGGAGGTGTTGACCCCACTAGGAGACTGCTTCATGCTGCGTTCAGACGCGGTGCTGGACTTCGCCACTGTCTCCGAGATCCTTCGCAGTGGCTACACTCGCATCCCGGTGTACGAGGGCGATCAGCGGCACAACATTGTGGACATTCTGTTTGTCAAAGACTTGGCCTTTGTGGACCCCGATGACTGCACCCCACTCCTTACCGTCACCCGCTTCTACAACCGGCCTCTACACTGCGTCTTCAATGATACCCGGCTGGACACAGTGCTGGAGGAGTTTAAAAAGGGTGAGCAGTGGTCATTTTCCTCCTTCAGCTCCCTTCCCTTCCAAAGGTGCTGTCCCTTATAACCATAGCTTCAAGTTCCGCAAGCAGGTTCTCTGGTATGGTAGCAGAAACTCAGAGAACCTGCCTCTGGGTTTCTTGGCTATTTTCTCTCACTTCTCCCTACTTCCTCCATCTAAGTGAGCCCACAGGCTTTTCCCCTGCTAGTTGGCTGGTAAGCTGCATTGTAGTTCTCGTTCATTGCATTCCATCAGGATATTTTCAGGGCGTCAGGTGCCAGGTATTATGTAGACTGGACTCGAGATAGCTTAATTGCATCACTCCACCTAGAGGAGTCCCTCTGTAAACAAGCCACCTTTGATTTGAACTCCGGCAGTTACAAAAGTTCACAGTTTCTGAAGCAAACCCCATTTGCTGGACAGCTCCAGCAGCGGACAAGGTCATATTTAGCAGAAAAGTGTAACTCCAGAGCCTCCTAGTTCTGCCCCTTGAATCGCATTAGAATAAGCCCGAGATATCACAGACATTCTTTCCCATATTTAACGGACATCAGCCATTCATTGAACACACAAAATACCCAAATTGGTGATTAAGAGTTAGCTAAGACAATGGAATTGTACTTCTGGGAACTCCAGCCCAGTGAAATCACATAAATCAGGACCTAAGAAAATAAAGCTATAGAGAGGAGACCCTAAAAAACTTGCATGTCCAAATGAGTGGAGGTTTCCTTCAAACAGTCACTATCGCCCCCTGCCCCCAACCCCAAACTTGCTGCTGTAATGAAGTATATGACATGGTGACTTCCTGCTTGGGGTTTGTCTTAAGAAACTGCCTTCTGGGCTGAATATAAATCTACTAAGGAAAAATCGGCCAGGATACTTTAGAGTTGATCCTCTTGGTTTTATGACTGTGCACAGCCCTACTTCATCAAATTTAGCCCTGAAAAGCCCTTGCATGTTTTTATATCAAATCTACTTTCTACCACAATTGACATCTTTCAGAAGACTACCTAATAGACTCAAACACAATTCTAGTTTGAGAATAGTAGCTAGAATAAATGTAAAACTTTACAGAATGACTACTTTAAAGGAAGCACTTATTTGTACATGAGTTGACATGTTTTCTCTCTCTCTCTCTCTCTCTCTCTCTCTCTCTCTCTCTCTCTTTCTCTCTCTCTCTCTTAATTTTTTTTTTTTTGAGACAGGGTTTTGCTGTGCAGATCAGGCTGGCCTTGAATTCATTTTGTAGCCCAGGCTGGCCTTGAACTTGCAGGAACCATTTGCCTGGCTCAGGGCTGGGATTACACCACCATGCCTGGGAAGTTGACGAGTTTATTAAAAACAAACCAGTGACCTGACTTTAGAATCAGACCTGAAATGCAGCTAGCAGGACTCCCAGTTAGGCATTTTTAATACATTTTTGTTCACAATCTTCACAAGTACTCTTTAGGATCTTGCACAGAAAGAGAAATGTGGGGTCTTCCTCCTGCCACAATATTTTGAAATTGCATTAAATATCAAAACATAGCCTGGGAAGGGAAGAAAACCTAAGACTTTCAGTCTCAGATTTGGGGAGAGGAAAGCTCCAAACTGTTGATGTCATGAGGCAAAAGGGAAGGAAATGTGAGTATGGTAGCTGCTTTAGCCTAGTCTGGGCTACTCTCTCACTCTTCTTTGAATCCTTGTGTTAATATTTCCCAAGTTTCATCCATCAAGTCATACAATTATGTTTACATTTTCTGCACCCAAAAATAGTCCTATGAAAAATTTGTATTAGTTTACCAGAGCTGCCAATATACTACAGAGTGGAGGGCTTAAACAACACGTTTGTTTTCTTATAGTTCTGGAGGCTAGAAGTCCAAGATAAGCTGTCAGCATGTTTGGCTTCTGAGGCCTTTCTCGTTTGCTTTCAGAGTGATAGGTTGCTGTGTTTTGACATGGGTCTTTCCTGTATCCAGTATATCCTTGTCTTTGCCTTGTGTGTCCAAATTTCTTTTCTTTCTTTCTTTCTTTCCTTTTTTTTTTTTACTAAGATACTAGTCAGATTGGATTAGGGACCAATTTAATGGGCTCATTTTAACATAGTTACCCTTACATGTGATAGTTAAGATAACAGTTAAGAAAATGTCTTGTTTTCCTTTGCCACCAAAAGACATTTTTAATGAAACATGTGACCTCATCATTCATTGGTATTTCTTGAGCATCTATCCTGTATACAATTTAAGCAACAGTACAGACAAGACTGGCTCCAGGACTTTAACATCTGTGGGCCATACAGTGTTTGTAAGAGCACTCTTCAGAAGCAGGAATTATCTTATTAAACTTTGTGGCTCCAGCATTTGGCACAGTGTCTTTCACACATAGACTGTTCAAAAAAAAAAAAATGATGTAGATCTGAAAGAGTCACTGGGAAGAATTTCTAAATCTGGCCTAAAATGTGTTTGTGTTGTATTAATACTCTACCATTAGGCAGATCACTAAAGAAAATTCCATCAGTGAACACCGTGGGAGGAAGATATTTCCGTGTCCTATCAGAGCCTTGCCACTTCCGCTAAGGGAAGTCCATGAATCAGCACCATTTGTCTCCATTGGAAGGTGATTAGAAATGCAGAATTTCATGCCCTACCCTAAATCCACTGCATATCTGCCTTGTAACAAGCCCTCAGGTGATTCAGGTGTATTTTAAAGTTTGAGAAGCATCATCTTTAGAGAACCCTTATTAATGGTGCTTTGTATATCTACAGGAAGACAAGGAGCAATTGACAAGCTGATTGTGTTAAGCTGCAAGCCATACACTACGCTGGTCAGTTTCTTTGAGTTATGTTTCACACTGGATTAAGAGAGGAAAGCCAAATTAAACTCCTTTTACTTTTAAATTTAGCTTTTAGAGGTTATAATAGTTCTTCCAGTTTCCTTTCTTCTTGCACCTCAAGTAACTACCTAAACAAAGCCTTCAAGAGGTAGATGAAAATTATTATGTTAATAAGACCAACAGTTACCATTAGTTGTGAAACAACTCTGCCAGATATATCTCCAAGCCCTTTACATACTCAGAATAACCTTCCTGGATAAGTAATGTATTGGTTTACTTTTCTTTCCTTGCTGGGACAAAATACTGGACACCAGGAAGGAAGGAAAGGTTTACTTAGCTCACTGTTTTTGGAGGTTTCAGTCCATAATCATTTGGCTCCAAGACAGGGTGGCATACACACTTCAAGGCAGCAACCAGCAAAGCATCAAGAACAAAAAGGGTAGAGCAAGGTGCTTTTCCTCCCTTATATTGTATCAACCTCCCACCCCAAGCAGATGTAGCACTCACAAAATCTGTGTGCCCTCCTCTTGTACAGGATGAGGATGTTGCAAAGTAAGGATCCTGGCTTCCTGCTGAGTCTCCTAGTTAAACTTCTAACCTCGAATTGACATAATGTATTAACCCTAACAAACAATTCCATTTTACAGATGAAAAAACTAACTCTGATGGATAATATAATTTACTGCACTTTCCATAGCTAATAACTGACTGAATTGTGGTTGAACTAGATTATAGAATCCTATAGCCTTTCTTTTTCTCTCCCCCACCCCTCTCTAGTCTTTCCTCCAGCCTAGAATTCTTGCCACCTACAAAGCCAACCTTTTCACCTCTGACTTGCTGCATATGGCTGATTCACCTCCAGTTTGTGAGTCAGAAGTGTAGCTTTAATAATTTAAATGATCACTGATGTGCATATTTCACTTTATGAAATCTTTTTCTATCTAACTTTGATCCTTTAAAAATCTCTGCAGTTACAGGGTATATTAATAACCAGAAGAGTCACTTGGTCTATCCAAGGTAATCACTGAGCTCGTATATTCTAAGACCCAGATTCAAATGCAGGTCATGTGACTCCAAAGCTCTTGTCCACTTAAGATTTTTATCTTTATACTTTATGTGAGTTGCAGTTCTTTAGATGTGAGGAAAGGGAGAATGAGTTTTCTATTTGTAATGCTGGCTTCGCTGAATGAAAGGAGCAATATTCTCTCCATTGGCTGTGTTCCTTGAGAGTGGAGAATGTTACTTACTTGGTAGTCACAGGAAAAGGGCATGGCTACCAATATTGTTGAATATAATTACAAATATTCATTTATTGAGTAACTGATTTTAAATATCTAACTTCTGTATTTCTATGTTTGATGAACCCTAAATACAAAATTATTAGTTTTTGCATGAATCACAACAAATATCTCCTCTTCCCAAGGTCTCTTTCCCAATTAGCGACATATACTGCCCTTCCAGTTTTCCAGGTTAGACACCTCTCCTTTATCACTCAGTCTTATCCTACTATTGATTGTCTTAGTCTGCTTGGACTGCCATAATAAAGTATTATAGACTAGATGGATTAAACAACAAATTATTTTCTCATGACTCTGTCGATTAGAAGTCCCAGATTGAAGTTCTGGTCAATTGAGTCTCTGGGGAGGGATCTCTTCTTGGTTTGTAGATGGCTGCCTTCTTTCCATGTTCTGATGTGGCCTTTCCTCAGGGCACATACAGAGATAACAAGAGAGCTCTGGTCTCTCCTCTTCCTAGAAAAACATTTTAGAAAAACACCAGTGTTATTAGTTTAGGGCCTACCCTTATTATTTCCTTCAACTTTAACTGCTTCCTTAAAGGGCCTCCCTGGAGGTGAGAGCTTCAACATATGAATTTGGTGAAAAGTCACAAATTGACTCTGTAACAGTCACCAAAGTCCCTTACTTCAAATCATATTACAATCACCAATAGCACATCCAAACTATCTCTTGAACCTATACATAAATTATTCATTGATTTTTTTAACAAATAATTACTATGTACCTGGTGTATAGGCACAGTGGAGAACACAAATATGGTTCCTGTGTGCATGATTTCATTCTAATACAAGAGGCAGAAATTAAACAAATGGAAATGATAACATAAGCTTTGGTGCCAGGCTACCTGGATTGATACTGGCTTTGAACAAATTACTTAACTAACTGTATCTGTCT